AACCGGTTCTTAAACATTGGTGTCATTACGTATTAGCGGGAGCGCAGGTTTAAAGCAAGCAAATATTTACTTATGTACATAAGTATGTATATACAAACATGCCCTGCAAAAAATTGGACTAATCCGGGATGACTCCGGGCGCAATCGCAAAGGAGCATGCGACTAATACCACTTTTGATCTCTTTATATGGAATGAACTGTTCACTTTTGCTCCAGCATGTCCTATGAAGAGACTAATTGTTCACCTTTATACCCGAACAGGATAAAAGGCGACTAGTCACTTTTAAAAAATAAAAATAAAAATTTACGCCAGCTGAGATTCGAAGCGGGGTGCTCAGTTATGTTAGGCGAATACTCTCTCTGTGAGCCAACACCGCACATGAAATTTCATTGACTAAGTGCGTACATATCATTAAATCGTTAATAGTACCCGTTAGAGATGAGTTGAGGACTAATTGATCTCCAATTATACCCATAAGGGATGAGTCGAGACCAACTGATCTCCATTAGTACCCGCATGAGACTAGTTGCGACTAATTAATGCCCAATTGTACCCGATTGAGAGTAATCTCGGAATACTCTCTTTAGAGATTAGTCGCACAATTTTTTGCAGGGTATGGACATGCGCAGATGCATATGTATGAGCAATTAGCATAAAGAGCAACTAATGTTATCAGTGATGGTACATATAATTACATGCTATCAGTGATGGTACATATAATTACAAACTATCAGTGATGGTAAATAATAGGAAGGTAATAACAATTGAGATAACTATACTACATAGATATGCATGTGCGATACAATGTATCTAATATTAAACATACTCCGCTTTCAAAATATTGTCGGCAATGGGTAGAAGACACAGCTTTGCCACAGCCCGTTTGTATATGCCACTTGCAGTCTTCAGAACGGCCACTCGAACCACCTGATCCTTTCCTTTAATGGTTTCGATAACCCTGGCAAGCGGCCACCTTATTGGGGGATTGTTCTCATCCTTGATTAAGACAACGTCTCCAGGCTTTAAGTTTGATGACGGCGAATACCATTTCTGGCGTTGCTGAAGAAGTGTCAAATATTCGGCATGCCATTTCTTCCAGAATTGCTGTTGCATGTAGCATATGCGCTGCCATCTGCTGAGTCGATTTATGTTGAGCTCGGTTATGTCAGGTTCCACTATTGAAGAGAAGGAGGCGCCGATAAGGAAGTGTGCAGGACTCTCTGTAATGGGACATAAAGGTCTAGAATTTACAATGGCAGAAATTTGACATACAAGTGTGCGTAGCTCTTCAAAATTTAGCGTTGAAAGGCCAACAACTCGGTGAAAATGATATTTGGCCATTTTTACTGCGGCTTCCCATAAGCCACCGAAGTGAGGGGAGCGAGGGGGTATCAACTTCCAATCAATCCCATCATTTGCGCACTGCTCGTGAACTACTTTCAAATGCTGTTGACTCAAAAATAAGTTCCTCAGCTCCAATAATTCATTCTTTGCACCAACGAAGTTAGTGGCATTGTCCGACCATATGGTTTGCGGTCTACCACGCATACAAATGAATCTATTTAGGGCTGCGATAAAGGAAGAGGTTGACAAATCTTTCACCAGCTCCAAATGAACCGCCTTGGTTACGAAGCAAATAAATATGCAAACGTAGCATTTACCTGGAGGTCGGTTTCTAACGTCCGAGTTGTAAAAAAATGGTCCACAAAAGTCTACTCCGGTAATTAGGAATGCTCGATTGCATTGAACTCTTTCAGATGGTAAGTTTCCCATTAAGTGTTCCATTAGTTTAGGTTTGACGTGAAAACAACGTATGCATTTGTTGATGACTCGATTCACGGTTTTGCGACCGCCCACAGGCCAGTATTGCAGACGAATGGATGCCAATAGCGATTGTGGTCCAGCGTGTAACAGTTTTCTATGAAAACTGCTGATGATTGCGTCAGTCACCGGGTGACGTTTTGGCAGAATAATTGGGTGTTTCGATGAAAACTCCAAATCCGAATTTTGAAGTCTTCCGCTGACTCGAAGCAATCCACGCTCGTCGAGGAACGGGTTAAGCGAACGAATTTCAGATGAAGTCTTTACCACCTCTCTAGCTTCGAGTGCTTTGTACTTGTCTCGAAGATGTGTTTTCTGTATCATGCGAATAAGCAAAAAGGTTCCTTCTTGTAATTCCATGGTGGTGAGGAATCCAGAACATCTCCTTACAGCTGGTCGAGAAAATCGATAAACGTAGGCATATACTCTCTGTAAGCGAACAAAAGAAATAACAAATTTGCAGTTTAATGAAATGTCTACTGTGGTAACAAATACAACAGCATGCTTTCGACTTTCCGGGCAGTCATTTATTGGTAGAAGAGGAGATTTCGGCCAGTTATGTTGACTGCTGGCAAGAAAAGATGGTCCGTATTTCCATAAGTCCATGTTCAACAGCTCCTTCGGACTAACTCCTCTTGAAATAATGTCTGCTGGGTTGGACTCAGTTGGAACGTAGCTCCAGGTCATTCCTTTAGTTAGGGTCTGAATTGCGTGAATGCGATTAGCGACAAAAACGTTGAACTTGGCTGGCTCGTTACGCAACCACGACAGTACTATTGTGGAGTCCGACCAGCAAAATATCCTGCCTTTTAAATGCATGGAATTGATTACCTTGGAGACCAATTCGGCTAGCAGCAATGCCCCAGACAGCTCAAGCCTTGGTACCGTAAGAGTTTTAAGCGGGGCAACGCGCGATTTGGAACAAAGCTGATTGGTCTGAATGTATCCTTCTCTTTCAGCTTGTATGTATATGCAGGCCCCATAAGCAGCAACACTTGCATCACAAAAGGCATGCATCTGTAGGTCAGCTTCGGGCATTAGCAGGTATCGGTCGAAACTAAAATGTGCAACTAGCTTATATTGACTGCACATTTCCTGCCATTCCGATTGTATTGCCTGCGATGGGCTTTCATCCCAATGTAGCTTCTCCTTCCACAACTGCTGCAGGAATATTTTGGCCTTGGCCACCACAGGTCCGATCAAACCAAGCGGGTCATACAGTCTAGCAATGGCTGAAAGAATAGTACGCTTAGTTACCTTGGCCGGCGTTGCAAAAGGCGAAAATAAAAATATAAAAACGTCCAAACTGGGATCCCAAACCAATCCAAGTGCCTTTGTTATGTGTGTATCATCATCGAACTTTAGAAATTCCTGTTTGTCATTAGTTGCTATATCAGTCAAAATGCGATTATCGTTTCAGCACCATTTTCTCAAATGAAAGTTTCCAAGAGACAGCAACTTCCTCGTCTGATTTAGCATAACCTTGGCTTCGTCCACCGAGTCGGCGCCGGATATCATATCATCAACATAGAATGCATGTTTTATTGTTTCAGCGCCAACCGGATAGAGGTGCGCTTCGTCCTGGGCAAGTTGCTGCATCGATCGAATCGATAAAAAAGGGAGCAGGCTTTGTTCCGTAGGTGACGGTATCTAATTTAAAAATACGGAACTCTTCATTAGGGCTGTCTCTCCATATTATGCATTGAAGAAAGTTATCTGGATAAGACATTCTTACACAGCTATACATTTTACAAATGTCTGCTGTAAGAGCAATTTTAAATGTACGAAATCTGAGCAAAATATCAAAAAGTTGTTGTTGAATGGTTGGTCCTTTCATCAGGATCGAGTTCAGCGAACGTCCAGTGCTAGTGGCCGCCGAGCCATCAAACACCACACGCAGTTTTGTTGTTGTGCTATCGGCCTTTAAAACGCAATGATGCGGCAAAAAATTTATAGGAACTTTGCTTGGTATAGCGTCAACGACTGACATGAGATTCAAATCAAGGTACTCCTTGATAAACGATGAATATTGTTTTTTAAGTTCAGCATTTCGCTGCAATCTTCGTTCCAAAGCTCTGAACCGATTAACAGCCTGCTGATAAGACTCTCCCACTTCGAACGAAGGTAATTTTGTTGGTAATCGAACAGAAAACTCACCGGATTTTAAACGTCTGTAGTTTTTTAAAAAATGAGCTTCACACAAATCTTCTTCTGCCGTAGTCTTTGGCGAAGATTCTTTACAAGTTTCTACTTCCCAAAAGCGTTCCACTAATTTGTTTAATTCGACATCAGAGTCATTTGTTAGAGCCATGTCGATGGCTGTTAGGCACGATAATTTTGCAGCGTTGTACGCAGTTGCGCCCGATACTATCTAACCCAATTTGGTTTTTTGCAAAATTGGCATACTTTCAGCCAAGCGTATTTGACCAACGCAAAGTAGGTCGAAAAATAAGCTAGCTCCAATGAGCATGTCAATGCGTTGAGGTTGAAAGAATAATGGATCCGCTAAGCGTATATTCGAAGGTATGTTCCAATCAACGCATTTTAACGAGCGACTTGGTTGAATATCGGTAATGGTGGATGTGACGACTGCTGTCAAGTTAGCCGTATAATCAGTAGCACGCGAATGGAGCCTTAAATCAACGATATGATTGGTGGCGAAATCATTTTAGCCTATGCCAGAAATGAACTGTGACGAGTTAACTTTCTTTAACTGAAACTGACTAACAAGTCGATTAGTTACGAAGTTGAGTTGTGACGCAGAATCTAGCAAAGCTCTGCAGGGAATGAGAGAGCCAGATCGATTTTTTAAATAAATGATGGCAGTTGCTAAGAGAACGAAATCTCGGTTAGCAAAGCTAGCTTGAGCTTCAGAGCTGACAAGTGCAGAAGCTGATGGGCCGAAGGTTGAAGACGAATGTGGCAAATACGGGTGCATAGAAGTGGGGAGCATTGTTGTTGCTTGTGCTTGCGATGGGGATTTAGCACACGTCAATGTTTCAGAAGAATTCGCAAATGAATTTGTGTCTTGATGAAGCAGACTGTGATGCTTCGACGAGCAATGCCTACACTGGCCGGACTTACAGTCCTTAAGAGAGTGACCACGTCTCAAGCAATTCAAGCAAAGGTGCAACCTTTTAGCTTCTTTGTAACGCATTAAAGGCGACAGGCCTAAAAATCGTTCACAATTTGCAATTCGATGTTCGCTAGAGCTGCATAATGTACACCCAACTGCAGCCGATGTTAAAGAAACCTTGCGATTGTTGTTGTTATAAGACAGTTTCTTTCCTACCTGTTTTTCCGGCGCCGCAAGAGCGTTTTCTACATTTTCCAGTCGCTGACAGCGTTGTTCTAAAAATGTAGCCATCGAATCCCACGTTGGTATTTCGTTTGCAGGTGTTTGCTCCTCCCATTTGGCACGAGACTTGATGTCCAACTTTTGAGAAACTAGCTGAATTAATAAACAGTCGGCGATCTGCTCCTTTGTTCCCACAGTCTGCAACGCAAGTGAGCATTTAGAGCATCGCTGAGTTCACGAAGTTTGGCTACCTTTTCACCCTCTACCCTCTTCAGCTGAACAATATCTCTGATATGAGCCTGGAAATTCAAACGTTTATTATTGAACCGAGCCTTCAATAAACAAATCGCCTTATCGTAATTGAGTTCACTTATTTCTAACGACCGAATTGTATCCAGGGCGGCATCACGTAGACTTAATCGAAGGTGTTGGAATTTCTCGATTCTTGTCAAATCAACGTCTTGATGGACCACGGTGTTGAACATCGAGAAAAAGTCGGGCCATTCTGCATAGTTACCGCTGAACTTTGGTATTTGCAGTACAGGTAACCGTTGCTTCGGTTGAGCGACGATGAACGATGATTGATCTCCAGAAAACGGCCGCGACGTAGAACTAGGAGCCACTGAAGCTCGGCAAGCGTGTAGTTGGCGTGTCAGCTTAGTTTTCGCCGCAATATAATGGTTGGTGAATGTGGTCAAAAGATCATCAGCGTCGTTGTCCTCTAGCTGCATGTGAAGGGCATCGAACCTTTTCTCCAGGCAGCCTCGTCGAACTCGCGCAGGGCTTCGAAAGTCAGAGAGTTGTTGGTTTGGGTTATTTGTTGAGCAAAAGACTCAAGCTTCTTCGTGGCTTCAGCTGAGTCAATCTTTTTAGATGGTGCCATTTTTGAATATATAAGCACACGAAAAATAATTAAGTACGACGTTTGATCAATCAATTTTACGAGTATTGATTAAATCACGTCGGGGTCACCAAATGTTTAGGGGGCAGTAAGCCTTTTTACTGACCCGTATTACTTGCAATAAAAAACGAAATGCGACAACAACGATATGCGGGCGTTTATTACAAAATGCGAAT